CATTCGCCCCCTATCGTCGCCGCCGGAATAGGGGACCGCATGCGACCCCCCACGATTTCTGAAGTGGTAGGGGGGGGGTCACTAGAGGTGGAGGAGGAGGTGGAGAGGAGGAGGAGGAGGGGGTGGGGGAGGGGAGGAGGCGGAGGAGAGGAGGGAGGAGGAGGAGGAGGAGGAGGAGGAGGAGGAGGAGGAGGAGGAGGAGGAGGAGGAGGAGGAGAGGAGGGGAGGAGGAGGAGGAGGAGGAGGAGGAGGAGGAGGAGGAGGAGGAGGAGGAGGAGGAGGAGGAGGGAGGAGGAGGAGGAGGAGGAGGAGGAGGGGAGGAGGAGGAGGAGGAGGAGGAGGAGGAGGAGGAGGAGGAGGAGCCCCCCCGAGCGAAGTCAGCCCCACCCTACCCCCCAGAAATCGTGGGGGGGAGGGGTAGGGTTCGCATGTGGTCCCCAGTCGAGTCGATTACACAAGAGAGACATGAAGATTAGTGATGTGGATATTGAGATCGATTGTGAGATCGATAGTGGGATCGATAAAGAGGATGACTGTAAGGTCGATCGTGAGACGGATAGTGAAGTCGATTCAGTGAGATCGATAGTGAGGTCGATCGTGAGATCGATAGTGAGATCGATCGTGAGATAGACAGTGAGATCGACTGTGAGATCGATAGAGGGATCGATAAAGAGGACGATTGTAAGGTCTGAAGTCGATTCAATGAGATCGATAGTGAGATTAATCGTGAGATCGATAGTGAGATCGATTGTGAGATCGATAGTGAGATCGATTGTGATATCGATAACGATATCGATAGAGAAATGGGTAATGGGATCGATGGCGAGACAGATCGATAAGACGATCGACCAGGAACCCAGAAACCTGGGAACCCCGCCGCCCACCGAAATCGGCCCGGAATCTGGAACCAGGAACCTGGGAACCCGGGAGCCCGGAATCGGGAACCCGCGAACCCAGCGTGCGACCAAAATCGGCGGGATTTTTTCGCCAAATCTTTTAACCTCCGCTAGGACCCCTTCAGTGCAAACACTGATTAGGGAATGATACGGACGGGTCAACTTCCCAAGGGTACCCTTTCGACGAAGGCATCTATACACTACTCGCCGAGCCAGGCCAGGGCCATCCTGGCTATAGGATGGTGTGCAGACTCTCCTAGCCTCGACCAGGAGGGCGTGTACACCATGCCAGGGCCTGGATGGCCCTGGTTTGGCAAGGTGGTGGTGTTGGAAGTTTTTCTCCGAAAGGGCTTAGGCGACCCGCCTCCTCCTCCTCCTCCTCCTCCTCCCTCCTCCTCCTCCTCCTCCTTCTCCTCCACTTCCTTCTCCTCCTCCTCGTCCTCCTCCCTCCTCCTCCTCCTCCTCCTCCTCCCCCTCCTCCTCCTCCTCCTCTCCTCCTCCTCCTCCTCCTCCTCCTCCTCCTCCTCCTCCTCCCCTCCTCCTCTCTCCTCCTCCTCCTCTCTCCTCTCCTCCTCCTCCTCCTCCTCCTCCTCCTCCTCCCCCTGCTCTTCCACCTCCTTCTTCTCCTCCTCCTTCTCGGGTAGCCTACGGCCCTGGGGGAATCCGTGCAGTTGGTGTATAGATGCCTTCTGCGTAACCCTTGCATTTTTGTCTTTTCGTTCCATCCGTAGGCTCTTTCGATGGCGGGCCCCGCTCGAGCAGCTTCGCCGCGGGCGTCCACGGGACTCACACTCTAGGCCTTTTAGATGGGGTCGGAGTAGATGGGGTCGGAGGATCGCCCCGCATCGCCGATGCATCGCCGATGCGGCTCGATGCGGAGCCCGATTTCTTTCACGCGGACGTCTCCGATGCATCGCCGACGTCGTTGATGCATCGCCGGTGCATCGCCGATGCATCGCCGATGCATCGCCGATGCATCGCTGATGTATCGCCGATGCGGCGCGATCCTCCGACCCCATCTACTCTGACCCCATCTTGGAGGCCTCTAAACACCCTGATGGCCCTGCTAGCAGCTTTCATCGTGGCAGTCCCGCTCCCGCTCTAAAGGTGCACGGGCAGTTGTTGCGTGCGTCGGGTTCGCCTCGCAGTCCTTAGGGGAGGAAGAGGTACCCATATAGCTACCCCTCCCTCGTTTTCTCCTTTGTGGGCCTCCTGGGAGGCCCTGCCCCGCGTGTGTGTGTGTGTGTGTGTGTGTGTGTGTGTGTGTGTGTGTTTGTGAGTTCGATTGGTTTTTGCATCAAGCCCCTGGGTGCCTTCGTGTGGCGTCCCTGGGGTCCTGCGCCTTGCAGCGCCGAGGTGCAAAAGCCTGCCGGGCTCGTGTTCTTCTGCATCCCCGTGGGGTCTGCCCCCGCCGTGGAGGCGGAGGCCCTGCCCAGTCGGACGCGGAGCTCTGGAGCGGCGGGCCGGCGACTGTCGCCTTCTCCTGCCTTGTCTCACGCGCGCAGCGCTCTCTCGGGGACGTAATGAAATAAGGAGAGGCGCCATGAGATCCTGGGAGATATCATGGCCCCCGCCATGATATCCACCCCCCCCTAGTCATCACCCCCCTCTTTTCCGCCCCCGATAAGCCCTGGCCCGAGACCCTAAACCCTAAACCCCAAACTGCAAGCCGCGGGCGCTGCAACGTCGTCGGCCGCGGCGCCTGGCCGAGCGATCAGCGAGTCCGCCCATGCACGGACGTGGCACCGCCGAAGCGCGAGGTCAGCGCTGAGGAGGACGCGCTCGCCCCGCGGAGGGGGTACCCCGCGCGGCGGGCGCGTCCTCCTCAGCGCTGACCTCGCGCTTCGGCGGTGCCACGTCCGTGCATGGGCGGACTCGCGGATCGCTCGGCCAGGCGCCGCGGCCGACGACGTTGCAGCGCCCGCGGCTTGCAGTTTGGGGTTTAGGGTTTAGGGTCTCGGGCCAGGGCTTATCGGGGGCGGAAAAGAGGGGGGTGATGACTAGGGGGGGTGGATATCATGGCGGGGGCCATGATATCTCCCAGGATCTCATGGCGCCTCTCCTTATATTTCATTACGTCCCTGGCCCCCCCGCGGGGCCGCGCACATGCCGCCGGTCATGATTTGCACCCCCCCCTCTTGGACACCCCCCTCTTTGCCGTCCCTGAGTCTGGGGCGGCCCCGGGAAGGCCCTGCGGGGGGCGCCTGCTTGGGAGCCCCTGCGGGGGCGCCCTGCGGGTGCTCAGGGGGGTGCCGGGGGGCGCCCTGGGAGCCCTGGGGCCGCATGGGGCGGCCCTCGGAAGGCCGCCAAGAATGAGGACGACGAAGACGGATGAGTGGGAGGAGGAGGAGGAGGAGGAGGAGGAGGAGGAGGAGGAGGAGGAGGGAGGAGGAGGAGGAGGAGGAGGAGGGAGGAGGAGGAGGAGGAGAGGAGGAGGAGGGGAGGAGGAGGAGGAGGAGGAGGAGGAGGAGGAGGAGGAGGAGGAGGAGGAGGAGGAGGAGGAGGAGGAGGAGGAGGAGGAGGAGGAGGAGGAGGAGGAGGGAGGAGGAGAGGAGGAGGAGGAGGAGGAGGAGGAGGAGGAGGAGGAGGAGGTGGAGGAGGAGGAGGAGGAGGAGGAGGAGGAGGAGGAGGAGGAGGAGGAGGAGGGAGGAGGAGGAGGAGGAGGAGGAGGAGGAGGAGGAGGAGGAGGAGGAGAGGGAGGAGGAAAAGGAGAACGAGGAGGAGGAGTGACGCAAGGCCCGTGTTTTTTCACGCGCGAGGCGCTCTCCGGGAGGCCCCGAAGGCCCAGCGTGAGCGTACCTTCGCGTGCCTGGCAGCTCCACGGGAGGTTCGCCTGTCAGAACCCCGCGAGGGGGGTACACGCGCGGCGGGCGCGTCCTCCTCCGCGCTGACCTCGCGCTTCGGCGGTGCCACGTCCGTGCATGGGCGGACTCGCTGATCGCTCGGCCAGGCGCCGCGGCCGACGATGTTGCAGCGCCCGCGGCTTGCAGTTTAGGGTTCAGGGTTTAGGGTTTAGGGTCTACAAACTCTGCCGCAGATGATCCCCTCCTGCCTAGGAGCCCACCTGCGGTGGCTGCCAGTCCCACCCGCAAACCACCCTACCATAAGATCATCTATCCCCTCGTTGTAAGTACAACGAATGGGAGCGCTTGGGAGCAGATGGTTTACGGTTGAGGGTTTAGGGTTTAGGTTTAGGGTCTCGGGCCAGGGTTTACGCATCATCGGGGGGCAGCTGTCGACCCTCGCTTTAGCTGCCAAGCCATACCCCATGCCAGGCCGAGTCAAACCCCCACTTTCCTCTTCAACCTCCACCGTGGTGTGGCAATTCTGGTATGGGCTCGGTGAAGCGGGGGTACTTTTCCATCGTTTCCCTAACTGCTGGCGAGGAGTGGTGGCAATGGAGGTCGTCATCAGAGTCGGAGGGGGCACGGGGAAGGCGAGGAAACGAACATCCTCTCGAGAATGCGCATAATAAGGGGGACGAGGAGGATGGATCAGGACAGCGAGGAGATGAGTCACTGCGGCAGTTGGGAATGCTCAAGATGTCGGCGGTGATAATGCTAATGATGATGACGATGACAATGACGATGCCAACAGTGATGACAGGGGTGTCGATGGTGACGATTGCGACTTCAACAACGGCATGATGCCGACATGATCATGATGATGATGCTGATGATGTGCATGCTGATGTTGATGATGCTGATGATTCCGCTGCTGATTAGGATGCTGCTGCTGATGATGATGCGGATGAGGATGAGGATGATGAGGATAATGATGAGGATAATGATGATGATGATGATGATGATGATGATGATGATGATGATGATGATGATGATGATGATGATGATGATGATGATGATGATGATGAGGATGATGAGGATGATGAGGATGATGAGGATGATGAGGATGATGATGATGATGATGATGATGATGATGATGATGATGATGATGATGATGATGATGATGATGATGATGCAACTGCTGGTGGTGGTGGAGGAGGAGGAGGAGGGAGACTATGTGTGGAAGCAGGGGACGAGGAGGATGCTCGCCGAGGGTGGCGTTCACAGGCCGGGGGGGGAGACACATCGAATCCGGCGACAGGCCCTGACCAGCTACCTCCGGCACTGCGGGCCCAGCAAGTCCAGCGCGGGCTGCTTGGCGCCCCGCCTCCGCCTGTCCGGCAGGCCTCGTGGCCGCGGTTTGTGCCTCGTTCCCTCCTCCTCCCTTCTCCACTGTCCCTCCTCCCCGTCCCTCCTCCCTCTCTCTTCCTCTTTCCCTCCACTGTCCCTCCCTCCCTCTTTCTCTCCCTCTCTCTTTCCTTCCCTCTTCTCCCTTCTCTTTTGCTCTCTTTCATTTTTTGTTATCTCTCTATATATATGTGTATATATATATATATATGGATTTGCTTCATTCACCAATTCTAAGATGTGGTTCTTGTTGCCACTTAGGCGCCGCCCACTGCCTCGAACACACAACGCACGCACACACCTCACACATCTTCCTCACACACAATTTCCCACACACATACACATGCACATATACAAACACATTCACATGCACATGCACGTACACATACACATACACAAACACATACACATTCACATGTTCACCTGCACATTCACAAGCACATACACATACACATACACGTACACGTACGCGTAAACATACACATGCACAGGCTCATACACATACACGCGCGCACACACACACACACCCACACGCACACGCACACGCACACGCACACACAAGCACACGCACTCGTACACGCACACGCACACGCACACGCACACGCACACGCACACGCACACGCACACGCACACGCACACGCACACACACAAACGCAGACGCACACGCACACGCGCACACGCACACACGCACACACGCACACGCACACGCACACGCACGCACACACATAGACACAAACACACACACAAACACACGCAATCCCACAGAGACAAGCACACAAACACACAAATACATAAACACACAAACACAAGCACACAAACACGCACTCAGTCACACACTCAGACTCACTCACACTCATGCCCACCCACACTAAGACTAACTCACAAACAGACTCACTCGCACTCGGACTCCCTTTATACTCACACACACTCATACTCAGACTCGCAGAGTACGATGATGTCTCAGGCGAGGCGGTTGTATCAGCAGTCCCACCTGGGAGCTTCCAGGATGTTTGCGTGGGGCCGTTCGCGCCCAGATTGTGGGATGCCTCGGGCGGTTTGCCTGTTCGGGTGCCCAGACTCGTCTGCTGCCAGATCAGATTGTGAGGATGTCGCAGGCGAGGCGGTGGACTCAGCACTTCCAGGGGGGAGCCGCCAGGGTGCTTGCACGGGTCCGTTCGCGCTCGGACGGTGGGGATGTCTCAGGCGGTTTGCCTGTTTGGGTGCCCAGACTTGTTTTAAGTCGGGCCTGTCCCCCTACAGCGGGATTTTCGACGAAAAATAAAACATACCCAGAAATACCCAGAAAAGGTCAAAAAATGCACAAGAAATAGTCCCCAGACTACTTTTGGACTATTTGTGGTGTATTCTTGGGGCATTTTTAATTTTTCGTCGAAAATCCCCTTGCTTTCAGGGCAGATTGAGGGGATGTCTCAGGCGAGGCGGTGGTTTCAACACTCCCAAGGAGGGGGGGCGCCAGGGTGTTTTTGCGGGCCCGTTCCCGCCCGGAGTGCGGGGATTTCTCAGGCGGTATGTTGGTTTCCGAGCCCAGACTTGCTTGGTTTCAGGGCATATTGTCAGGATGTCTCGGGGAGAGGCGTTGGTTCCAGCACTCCCAAAGGAGAGCCGCCAGGGTGTTCTCACGGACCCGTTCGCGCCCGGATTCTGGGGATTTCTCAAGCGGTTTGATTGTTTGGGTGCCCGGACTCGTTGGCTGTCAAAGCAGACTGTCAGGATGTCTCAGGGCGAGGCGTTGGTTTCAGCACTCCCAAGGGGGAGCCGCCAGGTTGTGTGCAGTGCAATCGATGTTGAGCAACCACTATTGAGCGAACTGCGTGGTGCAATCTGTGTATTACAATATATGTTGTGCAGTCTAGGTTGTGCAATGTATACATATATACATATATATAATATGGCGTAGCATGTATGTGGTGCAATGCATGCTGTGTAGTAGGTGGTGGGCAACTTATGTTGTGCAATCTATGTTGTGCAATCGATGCGGTGAAGTCTATGTTGCACAATCGATGGGCAACAAACTCAGTGGTGCAATTTATGCTGTGCAATCTATGTGGTCTAATCTTTGCTGTGCAATATAGGTGGTGTAAACTATGTGGTGCAAGCTATGTTATGAACTCTAGGTGCAGCAGTCGATGTGGTGCAATCTAGGTGGCTCGATCTATGTTGTGCAATGTATGTAGTGCCCTCCAGATTGTGCAACCTAGTTGGTGCAACCTATGTGATGCAAAATGTGTTGTGCAATCTAGGTTGTGCACTCTATGTTGTGCAGTACGTGCAATCTATGTGGTGCCATTATTCTGTGCAGCCTGTGTTGTGCCACCCTGGTCGTACAATATAGGTGGTGCAATCTAAGGTGTGCAGTCTATGTCGGGCGACCTAGGTGGTGCAAAATATGTTGT